CCCTAGCCTCGATGTAAGTGAATGAGAGAAAACTCCTACCTTGAATCCTTAGCTTTGGAGTAAAGAACAAGAATATTTGATCTTGAATCACCCTTGAATCTCTTGTTTTTCCCTTCCTTTCTTCTTCTCTAATGCTCTCTAGGGTTTCAAGAGGTGTGGGGGTGTGAGGGGAGTGAAGGAAATGAGAGCAAATGAGATGAAAATGAGTTTAAAATATAGCAACCCTGAAAAACACTGTTCACAGGCTGTTTTGGATTTCTCCAAATTAATGGTTTTACCACTAAGAATCTCCAATTTGATCCATATGATTACCCCAAGGTTTGTCGACATTCTGGATTCATTTTTAATGTTATTTTAATCTAAAAATATTTATTTTTATGATTTATCTCAAAACTCAAGTCAATGTACACCCGAAACACTAAAGTTTCTATTTTACCCATCCGAATCGGCTATTAATGAAGTTTTGCGATGTTTGCAAGTAAAATGTGATAAAGGGTGTTTCTTAAAGTTTTTTATACTTATTTGAAGCCTAAAAATACTCATTATTCTTATATTTTGATTTAGGATGCAAATAGAGGCATTAAATACAAAACGAAGCTAATTGGACTATTTCGACATCGTTTCGTTATCTGAGCATAACTCTCTCATCCAAGCTCCGATTGAGATGATTCAAGATGCTATGAAATAATACGAAAGAGCTCTAAAACTTTCATGTTTTGAGTTTTAAGAGATATTGACTGCATCAAGGTCTAAATCGAGCTTGAAGTTGCAGCAGTGCACTGTTCACATGCATTGTTCACAGCCTGTTTTCGTCTCTTTTCCATTTTCAATCCATTCCTAAGTCAACCAAATCCATCCCAAACCTCTCCAACACATATTTCTTCACCAAACCTATTTAATACAAGTTTTAGAACCTAAAATTTCATATTTTCACTAACATATTAAATCTCTACTTTTTCAATCTACCAAATTCAAACACACATCACTACATATATCCATATTTTTTTTATCACAATTATTCATTATATATCTATATACATATATAAAAGAAAATACGGGGTGTTACAATCACAGCCGAATCCGCCTCAATTTGGAGGCAGTAGTCAAGCAGGTCATAGCGTTCAAACAGCAGTAACCCATCCTTCAAGGCGCGAAGCTCCGCCTCCATGTTCGAGCATAAACCATAGAAAAAGGAAGCAGCCAACACTATATTCCCCCACTCGTTTCTTACCACGGCGCCTCCACCAGCCCTGCCTGGATTGCCCTTGGACGCCCCATCCACGTTTAGCTTTAAGGAACTAGAGGCAGGGGGCAACCAGTTGACCCAAATAACCTTAGGCATCAACTCATGCCTTTCTTCCACCTTTAATGCCCTCAAAAAATCCTTTCCCATTAATCCCTCTTTTGCCTTGGGTTTAATACCCTGAGCTTGCAGTCTTAAGGCAGAACAAATGTTCAAAAAAACAGCGTGGGCAGACAAGGAGTTTTCATCAAAAGTTCTTTTGCATCTTTCCCTCCATAGCTTCCTAAAAACCACCAAGGGTATGCTTCCTAACAAGCTGTGGCTTACGGGGCACCTACGGAGTGCTTTTTAAAAACCCTTGACATCCGCATCATTCTTACCATGGGAGATTCTGACTCAAAAATTTGGAATCCGCAGAAATTTGCAAGTTTCATCCGAACCGCTTTAGCAAATGAGCAGTGTACAAATAGGTGGATGACGGATTCCACATCGTGATGGCATAAGGGGCACCTACTGGCCAATTCCACACCAATCTGCTGGAAGTTAGAGTCCACAACCACAGCCAAATGATGGATCTTCCAACCCAACAGCTTAGCACTTAGGAAGGCAGACTGGGACCAGATCGCAGAGTCCACAGCGTCAGGGTCAAGAGAAACTCTCAATGAATTCCAAGCTAATTTGACAGTGAACTCCCCAGCGTCATCAAGTTTCCATATCAGACGATCCTTCTTATTACTTAAAGTAACACCAGAATTTATGATCTCTTGCTTAAGCTGATCAAGCATGTCAATGCCCAGCATCTGCCACTGCCAGATCCCGCCATCCCAAACATCTGACAACACAGGGAAAGACGGGGGGGAATCCTCTAATCTATGCAGCAAAGGTCCTGAACCAATCCAGTTAGCACACCAAAAATCCACAACTCTTCCATTGCCCACCATGACATGGGAATGACCCAAAACCGTAAAGAAGAAAGGTTGCAGCATGCGAAAAATGCGAGCTTTCCCAGATCCCGAGCACCTCAGCATATGTTTTCCATTTAAGAATTTAGCCCTGAACATGTTGGCCCATAAAGATTCCCCTTTCAGAATTCCCCACGCTTGTTTCCATCTAAATGCAGTTTGGATGTCTTCGAGCTTTCAAATTCCAAGGCCTCCCTCTTGTTTAGGTCGAGAGATGTCATCCCATGAAACCCATTGTCTTTTCTTCTCTCCCATCTTTCGAGACCACAAAAAAAAGGCCATCAATGACCTCAACTTGAGCAGAATGCCTTTGGGTAAGTTTAAACATGAGAGTAAATGCACAGGGACAGCATTAAGGACCGATTGAACCAGCATAATCCTGCCCATATTTGATAACAAACAAGCATACCACCCTTCCAATTTTGCCTTAAATTTCAAGACCACATCCTCGAAGTCACACAATCTATACCTTCCCTTAATCATTGGACAGCCCAAATAAGTGAAGGGGCACTTCTTTATTGGAATTTGGGCAATCCTGGATAAAACCCTCTGCCTGCCCAGGGTGATATTAGAGGAGCAAATAAGGGAGCTTTTTTCCTTGCTTATTTTCTGACCTGATCCACTCTCATATTTAGCAAGAAACCTCATTAAATAATCCATAGAAATTTTATTCCCTCTGAGGAATAATAAAGTATCGTCCGCAAAAAGTAGGTGAGAGACCAACAAGGCCCCACAGCCAGCATGAAAAGCTTTAACCTTTCCTTCCCCATGTAACTTGACCAATCCCCTGCTTAAAACTTCCTCTGCTAAAATAAAAAGGCTAGGGGATATAGGGTCGCCTTGCCTCAGCCCTCTAGAGGAAGGGAAAAAACCTAATCTTTTACCATTCAGACATACAAAGAAAATTTGAATTTTCAAACAATTGCCAATGATAGAAACAAAGAGGTCTGAGAATCCAAAATATCTCTGAGTTCTTTCCAAAAAGTCCCATTCTATACAATCATACGCCTTCATCATATCTAATTTAATAATTACATTGCCCCGCTTCAACTTTCCTGTCAAGTTCTCCCACCATTAGCTGGGCCATAGAAATGCATTCCCCTATCCCTCTTCCTTTAACAAAACTGTGCTGAGCATTTGATATTAAAGAAGGAAGGAGAGAAGCAAGGTGGTTTGAGCGAATCTTCGTAAAGATTTTGTAGAGAAAATTGCAAAGGCTTATAGGTCTAAATTCAGAAAAAGAACTAGGCTTGGTCACCTTTGGAATCAAAACGAGGAGAATGGAATTGACAGACCTAGGAACCACCCCTCCATTCAAGAAGAAGTTTACAGCCTCCAATAGATCCCTGTTAATAATATCCCATGCCACTTGGAAAAATCTACCAGAAAACCCATCAGCTCTAGAGGCGCTTTCCACAGACATAGAAAAGACAACCTGTTTTAGCTCAGTACGAGTAGACGCCTTACATAAAGTCTCGTTGTTAGCTGGACCAACAAGCTTAGGAATAACCCCGAACATATCATCATCAAGCACATGAGCCTCCGAATTGTACAGTTTGGAAAAGAAAGAAACCGCACTGTGAGCTATTTCATCCTCTGAGTCGCACCATTCTCCGTTATCGCCTTTGATTCGTAGCACTCTATTTCTTACCGCTTTCCCCTTGGCCATAGCATGAAAAAATTTTGTATTTCTTTCCCCGTACAAGGCCCATTTAACATTTGCCTTTTGTCTCCAATACAGTTCTTCCAACCTTAGAGTTTCCTCCAAATTCTTCCTGGCATTATCTAGGTTTGATAGCGTAGTAGCAGAATAATTTGCATCCACATTTCTTTCAGCATCACTCAAAATAATCTCCTGTCTTCTAATCTTTTCAAAAATGTTCCCAAACACTTCCTTGTTCCATTTCTTAATCTTAAGCTTAAAATTTTTTAATTTGAGGAAAAAGTTTTCAAGAGGATTCACTGCAAAATGCCCCCTCCAAATTACTTGCTACCAGTGGTAAGAAAGAAGGGTCCTCGACCCACATGTCCAGAAACTTGAAATAAGAAATTCTTTGCTGGCCATCATTCACCTCAGTCTTAAGTAACAGTGGGCAGTGGTCGGAACTTCCTCTAGCCAAATGCATAACCTGGGATTTCTGGAATACGGCATTCCATTCAGAATTAACAAACATTCTATCTATTCTTTGCCACATCCTAGATCTACCCTGGCAGCCATTACACCAAGTAAAATTATTACCTTCATAACCACAGTCCATCAACCCCTCCGCTTGAATACAATCACCAAATTCCTCCATAGCCAGCAGAGAAGGAAAAGCACCTCCCAATCTTTCATTTGATCTCATCACAATGTTGAAGTCCCCTATGACCAACCAAGGCATAGCGAAGGATGTAGAAATAAACTGTTAGTGCCTCCATAGAGGCCTTCTTAATAAACTGTAAGTGCCTCCATAGAGGCCTTCTTAACAAGTAATCACAGCGTCCATACACCACAGTGACCAAAACTGGGTCAGCCCCCAAGTGAGAGACAAAAACAGTCATAGCCTGCTCAAAATTCATTAGACTCTTAACGACCACGTTATCATTCCATAAAAGCCACATATTTTTCTCTGCCAATGTATTCACCATAAAAGAATTCATCCCCACAGCTAAACCAAAATTTCTCAATTTAGAGGGATATATCTTAGGTTCGATTACGGCTAATAAACATACCTTATTCATCACAATTAATTTCTTCAACCTACTTCTTAAGGTTTCCTTCCCAACTCCCCTTACATTACACATGAGAAAGTTCATCATAAAGAAGGTAGATCGGTATTCTCACTGGGACTACACCCAGTACTGGAGTATGAGGATTCTTCTACTACGTGACTCACCAAAGCGAGCCTTTGAGCTTCATCATCACCTGAATCCTCTATCATGTCAACCCATTTCTTTGAGCTTTCTTGGTCAGAGCTAAAGCCTTTGTCAGGTGGCTCTTTGTCTCGAAACAGTCCATTTTCATCATCCACCAAATAATTTTGTTTCCATCTCCGCTTATATGAATGATCAACCAAAAAAAAAGATGATGCAGATGAGAAGTTTTGCCTGTTCAACAAACACACAGGGATATCATCCCCATGCAGCATCTCAGTACCCACATCCCCTTGAAATTGAGAAACATCACATACCTTTCTATTTTTAGTGCCCAAATTTCCATCCTCACCGGTGGTCAAACATTCGTTAATCACTCCCAATCCATTATCCCTCACTTCAATAGGCAAAGATGGGCTCAGAACCATCCTCTCCTTAGCCACTGAATTTTCTAGCATTGTTGGCCACACTAGTGGGATTACCATCCTAGTGCACCACTTCAATACTTTTGTGACACCCAAAATCATGGAGTCCATTAATTTTCCATCAACCCACGAAATACCTGTGGATACCAAATAACTCGATATCGCACCGTTTTGTCTCATTTATCGGGATCCATAATTTAACGAAATTCGGGCAAAGTCTCCTTTGTACGGGAAACTCTACCCCAAAAACACAATCTGTGCAATCAATATTTACATGACCCATCCGAGGTCCAATATAATACCATAACCACACAGGGTCCATTCATCATATTTATATCGAAATATGCAATGTTATATTAAAACAGTCCATATAGACTCTATTACAATTCCTTTATACATTACATGCCAAAATTTAATTACAAATCTACTTTTACAAAAAAAAATGGATTGAAAGCCACAAGTCGGCTTTTCTTCAACCATGTGACCCTGATTGTGAGCCGTCCACTGGTGTATGACCCATACTTGAAATATTTCCCGTATAGGGTGAGTCAATGTCCAGTAGAATAATCCCTATATAGGCTAATCATCACCTAAAATGCATATGCAATATATACATGTAACATTTCACAACAAGTATTGTAAAACTCGAAAAAAAAAAATTATTATTATTATTATTATTAAAATCCTAATAAAAGGGGTAAAATAATAATTAATTGTTAAATTATGGGTAAAAAACGTAAATTTCAAAAAAAATAATATATATATATATATATATATATATATATATATATATATATAAGTGGAAGACTTGGTCTTCCACTTTTTATGCCTTCTCCAGCCGGCGAGACAGAGAGAGTGAAAAAAAAAATGAGTTTTTATTTTTTTTTCTCTTTTCTTCCTTCTCAGATCTAGGAAAATTTAACCGTTTAATCGCTTCGGGCCAAGAACTAAAGTTGCTCTACTCAGTGAGAGTTACGCAACCACACCAAATATCGTATTTTTCTCCGAAGGAATATCAAAGCCGATAATCTAGGCCTAAAACTTAGGAAGCTAAATTTGGGCTTCCTTGGCGTTCTAGTAAGTGGTCTCACGCTACGAGAGGTAGGGTTTCCCCTATTTAGATTTAATTTCAACTTAAAATATGGCATATGGAATGAGTAGATTATGAGTGTATATCACATGTTAGGTCATAACTAGTGTGACTAGTGGGTCAAATATAGAATTTATAATTAATCTTGTGATAATAAATTCTATTGTGATTAACTTGGTGTAAGTTAATGTTAGTAGTTTAAAGCATGTTAATTGTATGTTAGCATTACTTTATATTTTAATGGCAGATCAAGTTTAATAAAATTATTAACTTGTTATATGATTGTGAAATAATATATATATGTTAAATGATTATTTAACATATGATTATTTTGGTGGACTTGTGCTTATGTTAAACATGTTGTCATGTTGCAAGTTATAACATGCTTGAGATCGTGTTAAAATGTCATTATATTGTATTTATTATGTAATAGACATTGTATTTCATTATGTATGGGTTGCACTACATTCATAGGCATTGACATGGGTGGGAGTGTATGCATGGTATAAAATCAATCACCACGTAGGTGGTTGAATGTGGACTCGGAAAAGTCGCACCAAGGTTCGGTTGAGTCGCACGGAAAATTAAATGGATAAATGTGTTTGGGACAGCACGAAGGGCTAGATTCTCCCTCGGGTGCAAGACCCGCTTACTTAGTTTATACACTTTTCGGCGGTGAAATTCCAGAAAAGTGTAACGGCGGAAACGGAGCCGCAGGTGGAATGTCCTGAAGATCCGTTGATGGTTGGTGTCCCATTAGTGTAATACCATAAATCACCTCCCCACAAAGACACAAGAAAATGAATTAATTAGTCATTGAGTGTACATAACACCAATGATGGGGGCTTAGAATGCTCGGATACATACGCATGACATTGCATGTGTTATGAGAGCTCAGGATGGGGCTCGGGGTTGGTATTGCTTGCGTAAGTCTCATTTCATGGCATGACATGATTTATAACATTCAATCATAATAGACATATTTGAATGAATGTATCAAATGATTGTTGCATGTGACATTCCATATGCATTTAGGTTGAGAGGTATTCTCTATAGGAGTTACCCTATTGAGCGTTGGCTCACCCTTTATGGGAAAATTTTTCAGGTATCGCACAGGCGTCCACCGAAGGCGAGGCCATGGGCCCGCTTTGACGACAGAGTCAGTCTGTGGCTTTTATTTTGATATTGTAGTCCCTTGTTTATACTTACTTTTGGTCTTGTATAATTTTTGTAACAAACATTTGTTTATATTTACAAAGGCATGTATATGGGACTCTTTGGGGACATTTATTCTTTTACGAATAAATGTATGTATTGATAATGATTATGGTAGTATTCGAGACTATACAATTGTGAATGGATAGATAGATCCGGTGTGGTCAATATTGTACAGGTTGCGTTTTGAGTAGAGCTCCTCGTACAAAGGAGACTCTGCCCAAATTTTGTTAAGTTATGGATCCCGAAAAATGGGGCATAACGGTGTGGTATCAAATTACACGATATCTACCAGTATTACACGGGTCGATGGATAATCAATCGGATAATTATAGACACCCTGTGAAGACCCTGCCCCATTACCGGGACCCTGTCTTCCAAGGGTTAACCTCCCATTACCGGGATATCACCACCCTCCACCAAAGGATTTCGGCTAACCTGCGGGGCAAACCCCCACAGTAGCCTTTACCTCTGTCCCACATCGGGGAAAGAGTCGTCTCCCCACCCCCATATAAGCCGAAGCACCATATGAGAGCAGTACCCAAGTACCACAGTGTGCTACTTGGGTACTGCTCTCATATGGTGCTTCGGCTTATATGGGGGTGGGGAGACGACTCTTTCCCCGATGTGGGACAGAGGTAAAGGCTACTGTGGGGGTTTGCCCCGCAGGTTAGCCGAAATCCTTTGGTGGAGGGTGGTGATATCCCGGTAATGGGAGGTTAACCCTTGGAAGACAGGGTCCCGGTAATGGGGCAGGGTCTTCACAAGGAAAGCCTCCGAGATATATTAAGCCCCATTGGGAAGATCATTGTAATGGATTCATCTACTCTGCAATTAACAAGGCCAGGGGTTGCTCGTGTGTGTGTTGAAGTCAACTTGCTAGTGGAAAATCCCCTAAGAATTTGGTTGGATTTTGGAGGTACTAGTGGGCGCTGGAAGAAAATAACCTATGAAAAATCCGTAAAGTACTGTGTTGGGTGCTTGAAGCAAGGTCATGAAAGGATGGAATGTCGCAAAGGGAAAAGGGAAGGGGAGGAAATAGTGGGAAAACTGGTGAATGACCCAAAGGAGGAAGAAAAGCAGAAAGTTGGTCGTATCAAGAAGATCATTGATCCAAAGGGGAAAGAAAAAGAGTGGCAAAAAGTAACAAGGAAAGGAGGCCCCAAATCAATTTAAAAGACAATCACCAGGTGACCCAAGGAAACTCTAAGTTAAAAGACTCAAGTGAAGCATGAAAGGGAGGAGTCAACAAATTTAATGTGCTCCTTGGTGAACACTCTGGCAAGGATGTGGCAATAGAGGAAAGTTGTGAAACCCGAGAAAAAATTTTAATTTTTTCTTAAAAAGGGCAAAATGGTAATTTGACATTATAGTGTGGGTTAAAAAAAAACTGATATTTTTCTAGACCTCGGATGATGAAACGGACCTCACCGTTGGATTCATCTCGCGAAATCTAGTTACCCAGATAAATTTCGTCGAATTCTGAGATAATTAGATTTTTTACGTTTTTCGAGGTGACGGGTGTCCGGTGACCCCAAAAAACGAAATTTTTATAAAAAAATTTGAAATTAAAAAAAATATTTTAAATAAATGTCATATAAAATATTTTTAGTTTAAATTGGTACGAAATTTAATCGTTTTGGGGCGAAAACGGACCCGGACAAAGGGGAACACGTGGCGCAACTCGGGCCAAGCCTTGAAAATTATAAATAGGACTAAATATCAGATATTTCAGCAGAAATATCTCTGATATTCAGCTAGTTTCAGACGTTGGAGGAAGAGAAGAGAGAAAGAGAGTTTTCAAGTTTTTCTTCCGTCAATCTACTAGGCTACGTTGGTCGGAATCGCTTGAACCAAGAATTAAAGTTGGTCTACACGACGAGGGCTACGTGTGGGTACAAAAAATGAAGAATTTCACCGAAAGTCTAAAGGGGAAATTTTGGGGAAATTAAGTCTTGGTGGGTATTTTCTTGAGCTCAAACCGAAAGGAAAAAGGAGTGGTGCTGTCAATCCTAGACAGTAGGTGAGTTTCTTATTCATTTCATAAGCTACGATTATTTAATAATTCTGGGATTTTGAGGTTATAATGTAGACTGAAAAAGGATTCGTTTGGTTTTGGTTTCAAGTAAAATGGAGATAAATACGAGTTTTGGTGATTTTTGAAAGTTAGCCCCAGCCTATAGAAACTGATTTGAAAAATCTGGACAACATGTAGTTTCGTAATTGGTTTTATGAGTTAGAGTTCGTTTATGAATCTTAAACTTTGAGGGTTTGAAATAGATTCATAAAGGGTTATTTTGGCTTTGGTTTCATGCCAAAAGGATGAAAACTCTATTTTTGGTGAATTTCTAAAAATGATTATGACCTGCTGGAACCTGAAAATTCTGTAACTTACACTTAGTTTAGGAGTTACCTAGAACAGGTATTTAGTGTTCAAAAATAGTGATTTTTGGTGAAAGATAATTCCTATGAGTCTATGTTCATCTCCCACATATTTTGTTAGAATTGGATTTTAATAACTAGAGTTAAAGTTGTTTTAACTCATGTAGGTTACCTGCAGAATGTTCAAAAATGCTAAACGCCTACGCTTAGTTGGAAAAGAACCCTACATGTGACATTAAAACTGAATAAGAGAGGAAGTGTTCTTGAGGCTTTCTACACTCATTTTGCACTTCTATTAAGATAGGGATTCTCCTACTTTGGTTCATTCCTATTTAAAAGGTTATATGTATTGTGTAGGATTTCTTTTATTTGGGTCAATTCTTAATCTAGAATGCCCATATGAAATGGTTAGTGGTATAAAATGTTTTATAACTTGCCTATAGTCATGGA